ATATGTGGATTGTACAAATGTTTCATACACCTGCAATTAGACATGGCACAAAAGTTTGTGAAGTATTTTTGTCTTGGATGACATAAATAAATTATTGCATAGTTTGCATTAGAAATCACCTCACAAATATACATGTATGCAATATTTTTGGTCGTATTGAAGGTATTCATGTCCTCATCAGAAGTATTGGAGCATCTCCAACAGCCGCGCTATATAAGCGTCGCGCTGAAAATTTTAGGTTTTTTGCGTGCGCATAACTGCCCCGGGAGCTCCAGTGGAGGCACAAAAATTGCGCGCGCGGCATAAGCAGTTCAGCGCGCGGTCCAAAACCCCATCGCGCGTCGTTTATTTGCTGCGCCCGCTCCCGCGCGCTGCACACTCGAGCGCCCGTTCGCGTCTTCCACCTACCCCGACCTAGGCGCTAGCGCGCCGCTCGCACCACCCCATTTCTTTCGGCGACCATTCTGGCACTTCCTCGGCTATGCTCGTGCCGCCGCTGCTTCCTTCGTCTCCCTCTAGTCGCCACCGCCCCTCGTGCGTGCCATTCCTCCGACGAAGAGCGCCAGGCCGCCCACTGCCGCTCGGCTCCCACAAGGTGTTCGACAAAACGCTTGCAAGGTATGTATTGCTTCAACTTCACATTTTTACATGGATTTGGTGCATGTTGTTTGTAGTTTTTATAGACTAGTTTAAATTGAACATTGTAGATGAGTTCGTCATATGATTCTTCCGAAGAAGAATTTGATATTGAAGAGGAGGAGGATCTTGCAGTGATCCTATCTACGCACATCAACAAAAAACCGAAGCACGGTGGTTCGGTTATGGGTCGGCAGAAAATTTGGAGAGATAAGATCGATGCCGACAAGAGATAGATGGGGCACTATTTTGTGCATAATTCCGTGTACCCCGAGTCATACTTCCGGCGCCGGTTTAGAATGAGCACCGAGTTGTTCAGGTGCATTGCAGATAGATTGGCGAGCCATGATCGGTTCTTCAGCAAAGGAGGAATGTCGCGCGAGAGCTTGAGCATAGCACCTTTCAGGAGGTGACAGCCGCTTTGCATATGTTGGCATACGGTATTCCGGCTGATCTAGTTGATGACCACTTGGCCATGGGTGAGAGTCAAGCCATCATGTGTGGCAAGCGCTTCGCAATCGAAATTGTGCAAGTGTTTGGCCAGGAGTATTTGAGATCTCCCAATGATGAAGACGCCGCAAGGCTTTTGGAGATGAACAAAGTTTGCGGGTTCCCAGGTATGCTTAGCTCAATAGATTGCATGTATTGGAGTTGGAAGAACTGTCCTAAGGCATGGCATGGCCAATTCCACGGCCAAAAAAGGGATTCCACTATAATCCTTGAAGCAGTGGTCGATCAAGAGACTTGGATTTGGCATGTTTTTTTTGGAATGCCTGGATCTTTGAATGATATCAATGTTGTTAATCGGTCACCACTCATGAATAAGATTACAAATGGTGAACTGTCATCGGTGCAGTTTGTAGCAAATGGCCATACATACAACTATGGCTACTATCTTGCGGATGGCATCTACCCAAAGTGGCAAACATTTGTGAAGCCGTTGAAAAAACCGAAATGTAAGAAAAAAACTTGATTTCCACAATGCTCAGGCGGCGGCTAGGAAAGATGTGGAGAGAGCTTTTGGAATTTTGCAAGCCCAATTTGCCATTGTTACAGGACCGGCTAGATTTTGGGATCAAAAGATGCTTTGATACAACATGCATGCTTGTGTGATCATGCACAATATGATCATCAAGAATGAGCGTGGCCAAAATTTATACTACTCTCAGTATGAGCTCTTGGGACATCCGTGCGAGTGCGGCAGAGGGCTGCGAGGGTGGCCTGATTTGTTGCCTCCTATCATGCCATTCAACGTGTTGAAACGCATGATGATCTTCAGAAGGATCTTATCGAGACGTGGTGGACATAGAATGGCCGACAAAGAGCATCATGATTTGTATGTTTGATGTTGTATTGTTGAACTATTTGTTGTATTGCTAGATAAACTATTTGTTTGAGTTGTAATAATAAAATTGAACTATTTATTGTTGATTTATTTTATTTGTGTTTGATCTTTTTGGTTCTGTTTGAAGTGCATATATTGTTTGTGCTAGAGTGCATGCGCAGTTTTTTTGCAGCAGCTACTGGAGCGGCTCGTGCGCGCTATACTTTCCAGCGGCCGCTGAAGCAAGTGCTCTTCGCCACGCAAAAACTCACGACTACAACATTGTAAACGATTTTTTAGCACGTCACACAGCTGTTGAAGATGCTCTTAGGCGTAACAAGCTCCGACGACCTGAGTCCTCTCTCCAAAGGATCATTCGGTTGGGCCAGCAGTGATACACCCATTTGGCTGAACATTGCCAAGCCTATCCGGTTGAATATCGGAAACATGCATCCACCAAAATCTCCAAATTATGCATATTGCCGAGACTTCCATTTGTGCTCCCCTTCACCAAAATCTTCAAATCTATATCTATATCTATATCTATTCTATATCTATACCTACTATTAAACAAAGTGATATTCTTAGTTTCGTCCCGCGTAGTGCGGTAGGTCATTAATATTACCTGGGTTCGCACGTCTCCTGATCGAGCACACGATCGAGAGTCCTCCGGTCTCGTATGGGCATTTCCTATTTGGCGCCTATGCGCTGGCCCATCTATGCGCCGGTTGACATTTTCTTTTTTGAAAATTCTGTGAACTTTTTTGAATATATATGAACTTTTTAAAAATTTCAACAGTTTTTTTGTAGGTTGATGAACTTTTTTGAATATCGATGAGCTACTTTGAAATTTGATGAACATCTTTTTGAAAATGGATGAATTTTTTTATTTATGAACTTTTTTAAGTTTAATGAACTTTTTCTAAAAATACATGAACTTTTTTTGAATTTCTATAAACTTTTTTCAAATTTTATGAACTTTTTCTAAATTGGATGAACTTTTTTTCAATTTGAATGAACTTTTTTTCAAATTGATGAACTTTTTTCAAAATTGATGAACCTTTTTTAAAGATACGAATCTTTTATTTAAAATGGATGAACCATTTTTCTTTAAATCTGTAAACCTTTTTTGATTTCATATTTGTATTTTCGTAACAAAAAAATAAAAAAATAAAAAACTGGGACAGACGCTAGTGGGCCGGCTGATGCTAGCAGCGCTGCAGGCGCCGGATCGTTAACGGGCGCCTGCAGCGCTGCATAGGAGCTCCCTCTCATACATCCCACCTTATTATATCCAGCAGCGTACACCTGGGCCAGGTTTTGCTGTTATATATGGGCCACTAATTGATCTGTGCAGCCCCACATACCTTAAAGTGCCAGCCAACAGAGTTAGTGCCAATGCCTAGAAAAACAGAGTTAGTGCCACCTTAGAAATAGAATTCCTTGTCACCGAGGGCGTCACCGAGAAATAGAATTCCTTTATTACTCCCTCCGTAAACTAATATAAGAGCGTTTAAAATACTAAAATAGTGATCTAAACGCTCTTATATTAGTTTGCAGAGGGAGTACTAATTAATAGTCCCATCCTGTCTCTTTACAGAAATTCTACCAACTTATATACCTTCGTAAATTGCAATAGTCACAAGCCAAGGCACAAACAAGAAGTGGAGGATGAGATATGGGTCCTATGTACACTACAAAAAAGAAGAATTAACTTAGCTATAGCTGGATCTGACAATAAGAGATATGGGTCCTATGTACACTACGCGGAAGAAAGAAAGTCACATAGTCATATATGACCAACCAAAGAGAATTTATTTAAAACAAAAACATCCTACGTGCTCACAAAGGCAGCTTAAAAAAATATCCTAAATTGATCTTTAGAGATGCATTATTGATAGGAAAACGTTTAGATGTGCAAAAGTAAATGTCTGCATGAATCTTCATACTACAAAGAAAAAGAAAAAAGGCAAAAGTAAATGTCTGCATGAATCTTCATGTAAAATTAATGATACATGACTTAGATATGCAATACTTAGGGCACATCTAGATGTGTTTTAGCAAAACTGAATAAACAACATACATAAAGAGAAAAAACATCATGAAAAAAATTACTCTGTAAACTTAATACTCCCTCCATCCCAAAATAAGTGTCTTAAACTTAGTACAATTTTGCACAAAAGTTAGTACAAAGTTGACACTTATTTTGGAAGGAGGGAGTATATAAGAACGTTTAGGTCAGTACTATATAAGAATTCCAATACTACAAATCAAGTGAAGTGTGTACATAGAAAAAAAACAAATATTCTTCTGGCAAGGAGCTAGTCAGAGTGTCCTGGCATTACACTGTAATAAAATTGATGCATAATCTAAAGAGGATTGCAAAAATGCATAGATATTGCACAGGCCAGACATGAATACTCAAGAATTCATATCATTAGTTGTGAGTTTTGCATGGCAAAATGTAGCATATACAACTTATAGGTCACAGCCGATCACATGCAGCAGGAGTTGAGTCACACCTGCAAACTTATTGTAAGTTTGGACCACCAACAAAAGAACAAGGGGGGAGAACTACAAGTCATAATTTATGTCCACAGATGTTTCACCGTTGGTGACAGCAGATGGTTAACCCTGGCTAGGCGGCATTACATTACATTTGAAGAGAAGCAAATTTCTTACATCCACAGTAAGCAGATATTTCCTGTGACCAAGTGAAATTAGAATCAGACTTGCTATCTTCTGCTCTGTCCTCCAACTGCTGGTGTTTTGGCTACACATGCAGCTACAATCATATCTTGGGACCCAAAAACTTTGGTGCGATTAGAATTTGTGTTTCACATTTACTAAAGAATCAGAAGGAAATAGTCTGCTATGCTTGGAGTTGAAGGATATCCATCCCGTGGGTGCCAACCGCCTCTTTCGACCCCAATCACGGAATTGACGACAATGTCCTGCACCATTTCCCTGGTTGCATGTGCAAGGCCCAAGCTTTCACATTGAACAAACCAAAAACAGTGAATCTTCTCTAGCACATTCCCTATGCATAATACATGTACAAGCTATTCCCAGCAGCACACGCAATGGAATCCTCAGTTGGGTGCCACGCAAGATGGAGTAACTTTGTTGAGAAGTCATTAGAATTCCCATTGCCATCGGCTCCTGCATTTTCACCCCCTGTGCAACATTTGCACAAGGAGAAGTAGGTCAATCTACTCTACCTATGTGACAGAAATAATCAAATCTATGATACAAGAGACACTTACCTCTCCTCACAGCACGGGTCAAAGAGGTCAGGGTTCTTGTAGGCCTTGTTGGATTAGCAACCTGACGCCTATACAGTTTTCAATCCCAACAAATGAAGAAATAATTAGCCAGGTTTAGAAAACATAATTTATGTTAGGAGTGTGGGTCGGTGAACATTGTTGTGTTTATACCTACTACTAATTGGTCACTGTTCACCTATGTTGAGTATTTGGTAATCCCACCAACTTGGCATATGAATCATAAATGAAACATATAGAAGAAATCTAGGTAGCTCCAGAATAGCAGGAGAATAGGCAGTGCCATATTGAACTAAGTGAAGCATAGAACTATGTCGGATGCAAGGTGCTTATGAATTATGCACAAATTGGACTAGCCCATGTCCAAGTAGAGTATAACCGTTCATAACAACATAAACATAAATAAATAAATAAATAAATCAGAAGATATGGCATACCTCATAGGGTTTCTGCTTGCTTCTAAAGTGGTTGCCTCAGTATTTCCAGGAGTACAACCAAAAACACGGAATAAATTACTACAGTAGAGCACAACAAGAAGAGTACAAGTTAGCATACATGAGTTACAAATTCAACAATGGCTACCACCTTTTATAGCTCATAATGATAATACCTGTAAGAGCCAGTAGCAAGACGATGACCATCCCCACTCAGACAACATTCAAATTTGTCAAAGATTGAATCGTTTTCATATAGATCGCAAAGCTACACCAGATGAGATCAACACATCATTAGGACATAAAAGGTCTTGACGTTGCTACTTTGCTATCATTCGGATGAAAAAATTCACCTTAGGCCTTAAATGTTCATGAACTTGGAAAGTTGCTACTGGGCCTGAATCCATGTTGAGATCCCATAACTGAAGAAAAAAAAAGGATATTGAACTAAAGATACAAGCAGCAAATCACTTTTTATCTAAGAAAGCAAACTGAAAACCAAAGGATCCACAACCCAGAAATTCCAATATTCATTTACTTCAATATATCATGCAGAAATGTTGGAATCAACAGCATGACATACAAAATTTACCAAGAAGGTTTCAGATTTCCATGTTACTAGCCAGTCAGAGTGAAAATCGGAACTTTACAATAAGCTATTGTTTACTTATACAAAGTCCAAAGAAAATGTTCTAACCCTGTATTTTAAAGTTACTTAGAAACGGAATAATAGTTGATGCAGACAACCATCAATTTAATGCAGCTTATCCATAACATAAAAAATGAAAGCAGTATGCCTCAAAGACCAGTGCATGATGAACACGTCGACAAGATATTAGTATCAAATCAATAGTTTGATTTCTTCAGATAACTTTTGCATTCAATTTACACAAGAGAGCAAAAGGCCAGAAAGACTCAATGAGTAGATCGTAGATAGATCACAAACCTTGAGAGTCATATAATCACGACTAAGAATATGCCGTCCATCCCTTGCAAACTTTATATCTGAAACGGATGCAATTATCTCCGTAAAAAAGGATTTTGATCCAGGTGCTTCATGCTCCTCAAATCTGTACAAGATGGTACCAATGAATTAGAAAATAGTTTGTGCAAAGTTTAATTGAATAATTGAACTTGGAATGTTTGTAATCCTTCAAACTCTATTGAGAATTGCCCTCTAAACAAGGATAACTGTTACATCAGGAAGTGCAAGGGGTGATTACTAACAGTTTAGAATGGTTGTCACACAGTGCTGATTGCCGCAGGTCAATAAGCCTGATAGCGCCCTTTGAGCTACTATAGGCTAGTGTATTACAGTGAGTTGGATGGAACTCCGCACATGTAATCACCTCTGAAATTTCACAGAAATATAACAAGTGATGCATATTACCACAGGGAAAAGGAAGAGGAATAAATAACTGACGTGACAGGAATCATATCGGACATTAAAAAATAATCACATACGGATATTTAAAATTAACAACAAAGACCAAAGGTATTGCACTATGAACCAAGAGAAAATATTGGGAAATCACAAATTCAAGATAAGATAGCTTTGTATCTGAGCAGCAACAGCTGATGCAGACTACTTTGTTTTTTATTTACTTGTGGTTTCCTATACATCAAGAACTACTATGATCTGTATTTCTAGAAATCACATGAAAGCTGCAGACTATTAATCACAAAGAATTGCTAGCTAGGATGCCAACATATAGCTACAGAGTGACAAATCATCAAGAATTTGGTAGGTGAGAAAGTATAGGAATTGCCTTTCATCCCATCTTCCTTATCCACAATGCATCAGAGAAATTTTGACCCCACTCAAAGATCTAATTGGTATATACTGATGCATGCTTGTTGATCCAAGTTCCAACAATAGGCCATACAGATGATTTAATTTTTTTTTTGGAAAGGAAAAGGGACTACAAAGAAAACTTGGAGGCCCTGCATAGAAGGTAACTCCTGCAGCGCGGCAACGCTTGCAAGGTAAAAAGGTCTGTGATTTAAACAAAAGGTAAAATTACCTGATCATGTTTATATTTACGCATCTTACCCCGCTAATAGAGAATTATATTTCGTCCACCAGTTAGATAACACTGCATGCTTAACATATAAATTAACCAAATAGTTCTTATTGGACTGGCAAGCTTACCAGTTAGATCCTCCATGTTTGCAGGCTTCACATCAACAATGTTAAAGCTCTGACTGTTGATTTCCAAATTCCACAGATTAATTCGCAGATCATCTGCTGATATGAATGTCTCGCCATCACTTGAAGCAAAACAACATGAGAACAAGATATCAGCATAATGCACGTGCATTGTGTCATTCATAAATCAACCAAGGCATATAAATATATTAGTTGCAGAAAGCCAATCATATCAAGTCATCCAAAGGGCAAACGGAATTTAAATATAGTGCCCCCTGTTAACCATAACATTATTTTACCATATGAACATCCTTTGATTGTGTCTGTAGACACCAATACATAGAGTACATGCACATGGCACATCTGAAGGAAACCCTTCATAATAAGGGGTAATACAAACAGGTATAAACAGCTTATATATCATGTATCTAGCAGTATCAACTTCTCAAGACTTCTGGATTACATGCCAGATAGTACACATTACCCAAAGTGATGGCCAGTGTTGCCACAGGACAAGTTTATATGCTATAAACATGGCATGTTTCTTAGGGTTCAATCATGATAACCTTTTACTACCTCCGTCCTGGTTTATTGGTCCCCATTGTATTTCGTGTCAAATTTTGACCATAGATTCAACTAACAAAATGTTCATGCATGTCACCAAAAATTATATTAACTATGTACAAATACGGATCCAAGGATATAATTTTTGTTGGCATGCATTAACATTTTGTCAGTTATATCTTTGGTCAAAATTTGACACAAATTACAAAGGGGGCCAATAAACCAGGATGGAGGTAGTAGGCCATATCACAATTTCTCAAGAAATGCACGAAACAGAAAGGTTAATATTTGACAACAAGACAGAGTGTACATTTGTTATGTATGTCATACATGGCCTGCCGAGCACCAAGTTAGGGAAAGGGTCCCCATGATCTCTCAGTTCGGAAATTTATCTTTAAATTAGGGATATGTCTTTTAGCTTGAGCCGTAAGCCAATTAGAGATAATATACATGATTTGTTACTTAGATTAGATTGTTAGGCCTCTACAAAAAGAGGAACCCCTACAAGGAATAAAGCGAGCAAGAGTTAGAAGAATAGTTCTATCTTGCCTCACAGGGGCGAGAGCCTCTCCCTAGGCCTAGTATACGACAACATTACCTACATAATGTAAAAATAACAAGCGACCCAGGCATCAATAATCATGCCCTAATGGCCAAGTATGGATTACTCTGTAAGATGACAGAACAACTTGTAGAGGACATGGAGATGAAGAAAAAACATGACACAATATACTAGCCAGACCTTCAGAAGGAAAACTAAAGCACAACATGGTGAACATCTATGAAATGAAACTGTGCAACAATACTAAGAGGCAGGTGGTCAACTCATAAGAAAACAATGATAAATAAAGGTTAAAGCACCATGAAAGAGTATAATTTATGTGTACACAATAGTCATGAGAACAATAAACTCTCGCTCGATAACACAGAGAAAGCTTAGGCAGCTTTCTAAATTGGGAAAGAATATGAGAAATACGGTGGGAGTAGTTTCCACATTAAACAGAGAAAAGAGACAGAAAATAGCAAGGGTAACAAAATAATAAGACCGAGTGAAGGGGATATGTAAGCAATGTAAAGTCAAGAGCAAGTAAAACAAGTACACAGATTACAAAATCTTACAATTTGACCAGACATCTATAACTCAACAGGAAGCTAACCTATTATTTGAAATGGAATTGATATGGTAATCATGGGCGTGTGCATATACACGCCGGCATCTAGCGACAGGGTTTAACTCTTGGCCTGTAACCTGCAAACGAAGTAAATGAAACTTATCAGATTTGTTAATTGCAACTTACATACAATTTGCCAGAAAGCTTACAAGTGTCTTATCATGAGAAAAGATACTGTACTTATTTTAAATACATGCATTACTGCTGAATGTACAGAACTACAGATGTTGGATAAAATGGGTTAAGTACAACTACCACAGGCAAACGCAATGATGCATATCCCCCAGGAGGGAATGGCAGATCATTGTTTGCACAATTGTATGACTTCTCTGAGGATCCTCCATTAGGAAGACCTCTAGAGCTACTGGTACTCGAACTAGAAGTTGTCCCATTGTCTGCACTCTGGGAAGTATCCAAATTCATTACTGAAATCCGTTTCACTTTTTTGTCTTGCACCTGCAGATATATGACAAAGCAGTAAGGCACCAATATCACACGGACTGCCCTTGTATTTGGCAAGTGCAAATGGACTTTTTATATAAAAAGGCAAGCAATGGTATTGAGAATTATTAACAATGTAAAGAAGAAACTGAATACTTCATTTGTATTCAGTTTCTTGTCGTGCGGCTGCAGATATAACAAAGCAGTAATAGATGTCGAATTGATTGCCCAGACATCTATACCAATATAAAAGGAGCGAGTTGTGGAGATCCAACATATCTCACACGGTCAACCACGTCTATCCAATGGTCTATGTTGACCCGGTGTTTAGCACCCTCCCCTGATTAATAGTATACCTAATATCAACATCAGCGTCAACTAATTGATTATATACTACCTAATATCAACGTACAATTAAGATCTTGCCAATATTAGTGTCTGAGGCAATTAATATATTGCCTAATATCCACTCAGAAAAAACATTGCCTAATATTAATGTGCATTGCATGTACACGGTTACTGGTTTGACAAGTAGCAATGAACTCTATACAAAAAGGCAAGCGATGGGATTGAGAATTATTAACAGTGTAAAGAAGAAATTGAATACTTCATTTGTATTTGTAAACAATCATAAGTATAAAACAATATTTATCTATGTGCATTGCATGTACACGGTTACTGGTTTGACAAGTAGCAATGAACTCTATACAAAAAGGCAAGCGATGGGATTGAGAATTATTAACAGTGTAAAGAAGAAATTGAATACTTCATTTGTATTTGTAAACAATCATAAGTATAAAACAATATTTATCTTGATCAAACAAGCCAGCATAAATGGAAAAAATAGGCTTACTGTAAATCCACCCCTAAGGTGCCCAACAGTATTTGGTACCCCCCTCCGTCCCATGATATAAGACGTTATTACATCCAATATACTCACATATCCGATGTAACAACATCTTATATTATGGGACGGAGGGAGTACATTAAGCAATGGATACATCTTCCAAGCATGACATGGCTAGAGAAACACTAGTGAAGGAAAAATCTCATGACCAGAAGAAATAAATCGAGCAAGCTTCTGATGATCAGTACTTGATTTATACATACCTTCCAGTACTTGATTGTTTTGTCATTTGTAGACAAGATAAAGAGAGCATTGTTGGCTGTTTGGCCCCACTTGATCTTGTTGATTTTCTCCTCTATTTCCAAACTCTTTAGGTAATCGAACTACATAAATTACATATACGATCAGGAAAAATCACATTTCAAGGATATTACTAAGCAATAGTTTCATTTAGAAGATAACATGCAATAGCAGTATAAAAATGATTTATGTTGCTTTTCTGCTGGCAAGCTTATCCTGCAACTAAAACTAAGAAATACTCCCTCCGTTCCAAAATAGATGACCCAACTTTGTACTAACTTTAGTACAAAGTTGGGTCATCTATTTTGGAATGGAGGGAGTACTTTACAAAATGTGTACTGGCCATCAAAACAAAAAGGACTGCACACATTCTAAATGTGTATGATGACAATTTCCTATGTCTACCGTACAAAGTGGGGGAAACACATTATGCAGACATGGTATGATTTCATCCAAGTTCTGTCACAAACTTTTAACTCCAGTCTCGCTGGGGCACAAGATCTCCAGAGATTTAACACAAAATGAAAACATGCAGTCAGATTGGATATTTCCTTGTTAAAAAAACCCCAAACTGCATGGGACCTAAGATGCTGGAGACATATAGAACATGGTAATTTACGGCCAAGGACCCAAAGTAGCATACCTCAGGTTCATGACTCTGAAATTCAGTTTTATAGCGGAACTCAGGATGCCTGGGCACCGAATAATCTTGTCTCTCAAGCTCTGTCCGACTGGCATTCTGCATATATAGCTTTAGTTTATGGGCACAATAGATTTAAGCAAGAAAGCAACAACACTTGGATGGTGCGGTACTTACACCCCTGGCATCAGTTCTTTCAAACAAAACTACGCGTCCACCCCTATCACCAGTGGCAAGATGATCACCAGATTTGTCAAACTCGATTGCAGAAATGATGTCAACTGAAACAACAAATTTAGTAAAAATATAAATATGACTTGGCAGACTACAGTAAACCAAGAAAATCATATTAAAGTCAATTGACACAACCGTCTACTAAAATGAACGGAACCACATGTATCAGACAATTCAGATTGAAGAGATGAATTACCGTATGTTAACTCTATACACAGATGGTAAATCTAGGACTAAGCATTCAAACAAGTTTATGTGTTTTGAACATTCCTATAAAGGAACCAAACATCATGGATGCTGCTGGGAAAAAAATATGCTTGGTTATCTTTTGGCAAGTGATCAATTTCTCCATCACTGCAAAGAATTGGAGTGTATTCTACAAAAAGAGCTCCTTAATAGCAGGTATTGGAAACATGTTAAACATGTCCCGGGTAACTGGGTTAGATAAACAGGGCTGGATTCTGTAGGACTTCTAGTTTTGTGGTAGCAATTCGTTGAAAAGTGGAGCGAGAGCTTGTTTTGGTAACAATTAACCAGAATATCAGAACTGCGTCATATTACATACAAACGGGTTGTCTACAGATCCTTAGGCCACGCTTGGTTCATCGTTTCACGGATGATTACGGGTGTAAAACATCCAGGCGGAAAATGAATACGTGCTTCTCGGAAACACCCGCTTGGTTGGTTGTTTAGATCCAGAAAAAACGGGCCATTTTGTGCCTCCACCTGGAAAAATAATACACACACCTCCCACGCTCCGTTTTCTTTCCGTCCAGTTTTTATGGTTACCCAGTTTAATACGGATGGAAGTGGTTACAGGTGTAAAATGAATTCGGTGGAGAAACGACAAACCAAGCGCGGCCTTAGGTCGTGATAGTGATGTAAGGCTGCTCATAGAAAACTATGGCTAAAATTAGAGCAAGATGTACGAAACTGAACTGAACGACTGCAACATTGACCTCAAAGGAATGCATGTCAAAGACTGAAATTGTGTGTCGTGTCTATATCTTGAAAATATAGGTACAATTTAGGATACCACTATGGTCAATTTTTAACAACCCTACAAATGGCAACATAGGGCCTATGTATGATCTGTTACAAAAGGCATAAAAAGATATACCTCGCTGTTCCGCAAAAGGCATAAAAAGGTAGAAGCTGTAACATTCTTTATGCTGTACAAACTAGACCTGCTTATGAACCCTGCGTACCCGATGCCAAATGCTGAAGATAATTATGGTATGGCTTAGTCACAAAAGGACACCACACTCACTCACGGCTCAGAAGCACCCAGTACACATTGTTTGCGCCCAGTTCATCTGCCAAAGCTCGTAAATTTATTGTGCAGCCATCCCAGGGCCTAGAAAACAATAGCGCACCCACGATCCCCACATGTCATCAGTTCATCACACAAAAAGTTTTGGACTTTGAACACGCCACCCACATGCCATGCTGTAAAGCGCCAATAAATACCCTAAGCGAATCCACCAAGCATTCCTAGTTTCCTCCCGTCAACTCGACTCACCGGCATGGAGGCAACGATGCCTAACAACATTACCAGCTACCACGTCCAAAGCCTCCCTGCAACAAGAATCAATCCTACGAGAGGCACATCCAAGCAGCAAGGCCTACTGCATGAACTGACTGATTCCCGCACGTGACGACGTTTAGCTAAGCACCCGACCGCCCGTAATAAATTGTTGGACATTTGGCCACGAACCGTACTAGATCGCCGAGAAACACGATGCAAGAAGTAGAACGCCTGGAACCAAGCGCTTGGAACCCAAATCACGGCGAAGCCTCCGCCTCGATTCGCAAAGGGCGCCACCGCCCGAATCTAGGAGATCCCCGCATCCCTTGAGTGAAATGCGCGGCCTTCAAGGGGTCGCGGCGGCGTCAAACCCCCACCAGCGAAACTGGGTAGATCTCGCGAGGCGAGACACGAGTAGGGAAAGCACGGGAGCTGCGGCAGCCTTACCTTCCTGCACGTCCTCGCCAGCACCGCGCTCGCCGAAGACCTGCGCGAACCGCCACTCTAGCGGCTGTGGCGCCGCCGCCTCCGGGCGGTCGTCGGGGGACTTGGGGTCCATGAGCGCCGCCGCCGTCACGACACCATGGAACGAGGATCTCGGCGGCGTCGGCGGGGTAGATCGGGAGGGGGAGGATGGTCGGTCCTGGGAGAATGGGGGAAGACGGCGACGGAGATCGAGGGGTAGAGACGAGGTGAGGTGCTGCAGCCAAATGATGTGGAGAGCGAGTTCCAGGCGGCCCCTGCGCCCCTGTATTGCTCGCGCTTTTCTGCCTTTCCTGTCTGCGGGGAGGAGGCATTTCGCGTTTGGTCCCCCAAAAAGTACGAATTTGCCGTCCAGTTTTCCTTGTTACATGAAAACACTTATCTTTCTCTCCTTATAATTCTAGCTTCGCCACCTCCGTTCATCGAGCGAAGTCGTGGCGCCTCAGGCCGCCGGTGGCCCCTGCACGCACTGAGCTACAGTGTCATGTCTTGATCATTTCAAATGGCTGCTAGATAGTCCCACACTCTAGGGACTGTCGGGCTGCCCCCGACGGTCGAGGCGTAGTGGTGGCTCCAAGCGCTCTCGTGCGCAAGCATGGCGGCTGCGACAAAGGTGGCTTCTTGACGGTGTTAGCGTAAGTTTAATCATTTTGCGCTAGCCGGTGTGTCACGCTTGTTTCATATGTAAGAGCATCTTCAACAGCCGCACGAAACAACGCGCGCGGGGTAAACGCAGCCTTTAGCGCGCGCGGGGCGTTTTGCCGCGATCCGGCGGCGGCGGAAAAACCATGCGTGCGAAAATCGCTTGCGCGCGCGGAAAGGCGCTAGCTCGCGCGCCATCTTTTGCGCGCCGCTTCCGCGCGCCTATAAAGTGCGGCGCACGCCACGCGCCTCTCCACGTCTCCTCTTCTCCTCTTCCTCTCTCTCTGTCACGCGCCGCTCCAGCGCCCCGTCACCGACGCGCCTCCGCCGCCCCGCCACCGCCGCGCCGCCATGCCGCCGCGCCGCCGAGGAGCGTCCGGCTACTGCGGCGTCCGCCTGCGCCCCAACGGCGGCTACTACGCGGAGATACGCTCAGGTGATCTCCGGCTCGGCCTCGACACGTACGGGACGGCGCGTGAGGCCGGTCACGCGTACGACGCGGCGGCGTGGCGCCTAGGCCGGCCGCGCGGCCAGATGAACTTCCAGAATGTCTACACGCTCCAGCAAGCGCTCGACCGTGCCCCGCCGCTGCGTCTGAACACGGCACAAGACCGTGCGGAGCACGCCAAGCGGCAGCGCCGCCTCCTCGTCGCCCAGGAGGACGAGCGGGTCATGGCGGAGTGGCGCCGCTGCCACCCGGAAGACGTCGCCTACGAGCAGTCCTACTGGGCAAGGCGTCGCGAGGAGGACACGCGAAGGCGCCGCGAGGCGCGGTTGGACAGGCGTCGGCGCAAGGCGTTGGCGAACGCGCAGTCCGATCTCGTTGAAGCAGGTGGGCAATCGTTCTTCACGCCGGATGATAATCGGTGGTTGGACATTTGGCTGGATACCTCGGACGACACCGCCGAGGAGGATGACGATAGTGATGATAGCGACTTAGACTAGTTTTTTTATGCAATCTATCTCGTGTTTTATCGTTTGTTGTTTTTAATTATTATGCATTTTATGTTTCCGATGTAAAATACCTTTGTATCGTTAAAATCTATGCAATCTATCTATTTTTCAATAGCCTAGAATGAGCACGCGCGCTGCTTTTTTGCGCGCTGCTGGAGCGGGCGCAACGCGCCGCGCCAAACCAGCCGATGCATGCGTGGCATATGTGTTTTTTGCGCGCGGCGCGACCGACGCCTGTTGGAGATGCTCTAAGGCGTTAAGTGGTCGAATACAAGTCAAAGGGCGCTGTCAAATAGGTGTCACGAACCTGCCTGCTATTTATATTGGCATAAATAAAAAGTGTTTCTAGAGCCCCATATGATCTTTGGTGGCTAGCACCAAAATAAAGGGCACTAAAATTTATGTCGAGTTTATTTCAAATCCAACGCTAGCAGGTGAAAACAGAGGATGGTGACCCCTCAAAATGAGAAAAATCAAAGGTCATATTGAATTTTTAAACTATTAGCATGTTTCTCAAGTTGGCGGACGTGATTTTGGATCGAGCGTGGATGAGGATCAGGGCGTAATTGGGATCCATGAGAAATTTCTTCTTCATGGGTTAAAGATAATGCCAGCTCCCACGATGAACTTTCCCCTGTGCCTTGGGCTTCTCCTATTGTGAATCCTCCAACGGCTCATCGATAGTGCAGCGGCGAAAGCCACAACTAGCCATATTGGTTGGAGTGTTCTCGACAAAGTGGAGGTGATCACCGGTGCTAATAAGTTTTACTGGTTCGATGGGCATCGCTTCCAGTGTCTTGTTCGCCTCTTCTTCCTCCTCCTCCTCCTCTTCATCTTTGAATGTCACCTCATCTGGTTCCTCCTCTGATGGAGAATCGCCGCCCTCAGTGTGACATGCCCTCTCCCACTTCTAGCCACGAGATGAATCGTGGCCTTCAAGTCCACGGTCCTCCTCCTCCTAGGAAGAGGCTTGCCTCTCATCCCACGAAGGGGTCATGTCTTCTCTACACACTAACTTAAAGAGGTCTAATGAGATTGGTTTTGTTGTTTGTGAGGAGGAGGGAGGCCATGGAGCACTATATAAGAAGGTTAGTGAAAGTGCAATCATGCCATTAATCATATTTTCATGTTGATGACAATATACATATAGGGGACTAATCATGTTTGCCAAGTATATCACAGGTTTTAGTCTCCGTGGAATCATGTGTGTGGATTGTGGAGCACATATTTCTATATTGCTCAAGAATGAAGAAACAAAGATAAAAACTTGGGATTTTTTTGGTTTGTTCTCGAGTATAGGGATCACGCACTATTAAGAGGGGATCATCGGGACTCGTGAAAGATTTGCTCAAACCCATTGTTTCTTTAAATGTCTTTCACTCACATCACACAGCCATGTCACACATACACCCAAAGAACATCCCTGGGAGGTTTCCTCGAAGATACTTACTCCTTATGTTTCAGGAAAACCACTTGGTATCTGGCTCACAGGATGTCCAGCATTTACCGGACGCCCGCTCACACGCTGCTCACCGGATGTCCGACATTTACCGGAAACCCGGTGTATCTTTAACAAAAGCAATCTGGCGGATTTTCGGTCCCCATAGAAAATTTGGTTCATCCTATCCAGAGCCAAATTGGCGATCACCCGGCCTTCTCCGGATGTTCGGTCCTGGCCCATGGATGTTCCGCTGCGTCCGGAAATCCGGTGCAATCTCAACAGAGCCAAATAAACGGAATTATGTTCTTATCGAAAATCCGGTGTATCCTATCCAGTACCGTTTTAACGGATTTCCAGTACTCATCGGATGTCTGGTGCCTCCTGAGACACCGGACATCCGACCAGTACCTAAGCCTGGGCATTCGGTTAGACCAAACTGGTCGGTTCGGTTCCTCGGTTTATTTAGAAAGTCGGTTTTTAAAAATCAATGTCCAATCGGTTGTTTGAGAAACTGCTAACCGAGAGTCGGTGCACTGAGAGTTCGGGACGGTCCTTGGTTTTAACTAAACGAACCCAAGCTTGTTCGATGGTAGGCATTACTTCCTTAAAATCACTGGCGAAAGAATCATAGGAAAGAAAATTGGACCCTATAGGTAAAAACATCTCTTGTATCCTAACCAACTTCTTGTGAGGACATGAATTTCCCTAAAATAGGCCCCACCAGGATGGTAGAGGAGATACCTAAAGAGAACAGGAATGCAACTCCAATGGACATGAGAGACACGAAGGAAGGGAACACATAAGGAGCTGGCTGGCAAGCGGCACGGCAGCCTTCACCGTCGGCCGGGAGATAGGAGAGATAGCAGGTGTGACGACTAGGTTAGGAATGGGGCATTGAGTTTCCTCGCGTGGGGCTGGGGCCCGGGGGTATGAGATCTGGGACAGTGCGATTATTTTCTTACGGATCCAGTACAATGCGTTTAATGCAAAGGGTATTGGGCCACACGAGTTGATGGTCTTTGCTAGTAGTGTTGGGGATCTGTACATAAACCGGTTGAAATATCATGGATGTCGCCTAGAGGGGGGGTGAATAGACACTTTAAAATAATTACGATTTAGGCTTGAACAAATGCGAAATAAAACTAGCGTCTAATTTGGCAAGCACAAAACCTAAAACAATTAGGCTCACCTATGTGCACGAACAACTTATGCTAAGCAAGATAAACAACTAAGTGATAGTAAGATATATAACAAGAAACACTATGACTATCACAAAGTAAAGTGCATAAGTAAAGGGCTCGGGTAAGAGATAACCAAGGCACACGGAGACGACGATGTATTCCGAAGTTCACACCCTTGTGGATATATGATAATCTCTGTTTGGAGCGGTGTGGAGGCATAATGCTCCTCAAAATGCCACTAGGTCCATCGTCTTCTCACGCTCTCACACAATGCAAGATGTTGTGATTCCATAAACCATTTTATAATGAGACATACCCATATGATTTTTATATGATGTTCTATAAGCCCAAAGTGCATCATCTAATTTCTTAGACCAATTCTTCCGGGACCTATTGACAATCTTTTTGCAAAATTAATTTTATTTCTCTATTGCTAAGTTCAACTTGACCACTAGACTGAGGATAATAGGGTGATGCAATTCTATGGTTAACATTACTTGGCAAGCATTTTACGGAAAACACCATGAATAAAGTGTGAACCACCATTAGTCATTAATTATCTAGGGACTCCAAACCTTGGGAAAATAACTTCCTTAAGCATTTTAATAGAGGTGTTTTGATCAGCACTACTAGTTGGAATAGCTTCTACCCACTTAGTAACATAATCAACAGCAACCAAAATATATGTATACCCATTAGAGAAAGGGAAGGGTCCCATGTAATCAAAACTCCAAACATCAAATGGTTCAACAGCAAGTGAATAATTCGTAGACATTTCTTGACGCTTACCGATGTTACCTATTCTTTGACATTCATCACAAGATAATACGAACTTACGAGCATCCTTGAAAAGAGTAGGCCAATAAAATCCAGACTGTAATACCTTGTGGGCAGTTCTGTCTCCCGCATGATGCCCTCCATAAGCCTCGGAGTGACATTTCTGTAGGATTTATCCATGTTCATGCTCAGGTACACGATGTTTAATAATACTATATACTCCTTTATAAAGATGCGGGTCATCCCAAAAGTAATGTCTTAAATCATAGAAGAATTTTTTTCTTTTGTTGGTATGTAAAGCTAGGTGGTAAATATTTAGCAACAATGTAATTAGCATAGTCATCATACCAAGGAGTGTTATAAGAAACATTTATTGCAGCTAACTTCTCATCAGGAAAACTATCGTCAATAGGTAGTGGGTCATCAAGCACATTTTCAAGCCTCGACAAATTATCAGGCACGGGGTTCTCTGCTCATTTTCTATCAGTGATGTGTAGGTCAAATTCTTGTAGCAAGAGAACCCATCAAATAAGTCTAGGTTTAGCATCTTTCTTTTCCACAAGATATTTAATAGCAGCATGGTCGGTGTGAACAATTACTTTTGAATCAACAATGTAAGATCTAAATTTATCACAAGCAAACACCACTGCTAGAAATTCGTTTTCAGTAGTAGCATAATTTCTTTGAGCACTGTCTAGAGTTTTACTAGCATAATGAATAATATTTAGTTTCTTATCAACTCTTTGTCCCAGAACAACACCAACATCATAATCACTAGCATCACACATAATTTCAAAAGGCAGGTTCCAATCAGGTGGTTGAACAATAGGTGCAGAAATTAAGGATTTCTTGAGTGTTTCAAAGGCTTCTAAACAATCATCATCAAAAACAAAAGGAACATCCTTTTGCAAAAGATTTGTAAGAGGCCTGGAAATTTTAGAAAAGTCTTTGATAAATCTCCTATAGAAACCAGCATGACCTAAGAAACTACGAATACCTTTGATATCTTTAGGAAATGGCATTTTTCTCAATTACATCAACCTTAGCTTTGTCCACTTCAAAACTGTCGTGGTTCTAAGACTGATAGTAGAATGGGGGTAGGTATGAGGAGGCAAGATCTTAGCCATGGAGTAGTTGTACACACGAGTTTACGAGTTCAGGCCCTTCTCGGAGGAAGTAATAGCCCTAAGTCTCGATGCCCTGAGGCGGTCGACTGGATTATATGTGTGTGTGTTTACAAAAGATGCGAACCCCAGACTTGGAGGAGGGGGTGGCTTATATAGAGTGCGCCAGGACCCCAGCTCCCCTCCATTATGCGGGGCTTAATGTACATAAAGGTGGAGCATTACAGGTAACGTCCGTATGAAAGTGTTATAAATGGTAGTTAAGGCTATGAGTAAATGTCTGACCGTTGTTGTGTAGAGTGGCTTCAGATCTTCTGTTCGTCGAGTGACTTCTGTGATGGTCGAGTGACATTGATTCTTCCGAGTGGAATGTCTCTGGCCGAGTGGATGATGGTACCCTT